ATTTCACATCTGTATCTAAACGATTTACTTGTTTGGGTTTATCACAAAATCTGAAACCCAGACATAAAATAAACTGGAAGCTGCATACTTTAGAATGTAAACAATAGGCAATAACATTTGTAACCATGGTAACATCAGTAATTGGAGATTGAGAATAAAACTTTAAATCCTTCAAAGGATAGGATGCACAGAACTTAGAAACTAATGTACTGCTTGTCAAATTAACAGTCGAAAGTTATGTGAAGTACATTAAAATTAACACAGTGAATGCGTTGTTGTTTGATCTCTTCTAAAGCTTGAATATATACACTAACCTTTATCTTCAAGTTTTCTCTCTGGTACGCTTTTCTCTACTTTGACATCACTCTTTTCCTATCCACTTGTTCTCTGTATACTGCTGTGAAGTGCGGCAACTAGAACCGATGCACTTCTATGCGAAGTTTCTATGTTGATTTTGTCTGTCTATCTTTAAGGTAAAGCTTTTGACCAAAAAATATAATGCTTCATTGATGGATACATTGTGAACAGGTGTCAAAGAAATACACCATTTGTAGCATTTAGAATACTCGTCTGGTATAAATTAAAAGGAAATTGATCAACAGAGATGTATCATTTTCATAACTTTTCATTAAGAATATACAGTAGCGATTTTTTTTCAAAAGTGAGCTTAAAGAATTTCATTTCACATGCATTGATAGATGTCTCATAAGGGATTACCACAGTCATCGAAATTAATCATGTGCACTACAGTCGTATACATTTTCGACTTTCTTTTAAGCCTTTGTTAAATGATGCCTATAGGTGATGAGGAAAAAATGCTTATGAGATGATTTAGTACAGTGACTAGAAACAAGATGTAATTAGAGCGTAACGTTTTGTGTTTTCTTGATAGTCTATTGTTTCCCATACTGATAGACAAATAAGGCGAAAGTATCTTTCTCTGAAGCGCAAGGTTCTCATATGACATCTATGATTAAGCACAAGTGGGTCGATAACAACTCATGATGAACAGCTAGGTGTGTACAGAGATTCATGACTTTCCTGATATAACGTTCGTGAAAATGCTTTTTGATCATATTTTAAATTAAAAGTTAAAATCGTTTTTGTTCCATGGACAGAAATTTTAATAAGATTAGGTTTCGATACTGGGTAATGATTGGAGGTGAGATAAAAATCTGGGCTGCTGCCGGATTCAAACCAGCGACTACTGAGTTACCGGCCCGTTGCTCTAGCAACTGAGCTACGAGGTCCGACAGCTGACCAGATTTTTATTTCACTTCAATCATCACCCAGTATAAATACTAGTCTGGCAAACTACGGCTATCTCAGATAGTCAAGTGGTAATAATGTTTCTGATTCACCCCTAACTTTACTTCACATGTGAATTATTTGAGACATCTCATACGGCAACTAAGCCACGCAGTTAGTCACATAACTCATTCCCTTGATACAGTCAGACAGGCAAATCAATGTAGAACTTTGCACATAAGTGTATCGGTTCAATTTGCCACATTTGAAAGTAGCATACAAAGAACAAGTGGATAAAAAAGACTGATATCAGAGTAGGCAAAAATGTACGGGAGGAAAAGGAATTAAGAAATGAAGGCTACTCAAAGCATTCAAGCTTTAGAAAGACGTCAGGGAGTGAATACATCTGCACCAATGTGATGGGTTTTCAGCCACATCGCCAAGATTCCTGAACCACAGAAAGCAAATTCTGATTGGTCACCATGCATATTTTTATGTCTGATCGGAGTCGACCCTTTCGAATTGCTTAGGTAATGTGACATTGATCTCCTTCTCTGTGATAAATCTGTTATTTCTGAAGATTTACTTGACCATACTTCATTTCTTGAAGTGGGGCTTCAAAAGTTAGTGGTTAGTGAGAATATCGGTGAAATGGATGAGCTTATTTCGCTCACAGGAGAGACGACTGTGAGGATGGATGGAACACTTCGAAAAAGAAGTTCAGCCAGCCTCCAGCTACTATTATGTTCCCTGAAATCCATTCGGATCCTAGTTGGAACATTGAGATGAGAACTTCAACACTTGCATAAAACAAGGGGGCTGTAAGTAACTTGTAACGAGGAACGCGGCAGAGCCAGATGAATTATTAATGGAGGTAATTGAGTAGGGTGACAGTGGATTGTTATTTAAGCTAACTGAAGCGTAGGCTGCTGTATGGGAGTTAAATATGATTCCCTCTATTTGGTTGCAATCAGTAACTGTCCCAGTCATCTTCAAAAAAAGATGAGAATTCCTTTTGTCATAACCACACGTCTAAGCTCAGCAACAGCAAACGAGGCAGACTAGTTGCGTCGCCTTAGGTAGTCGCTACACATTAGCCCTCCACCCGTAAGGTTCCGTAACACAAGCATACTTACCAACGCCCGACAATGACTACGCTTCTCAACTGCAAACCGGCTTCCAACTTCGATGATCAACAGGACTTATGGCAGCTTCTCTCACTAAAACGGGTACCAAGTAAACTCATCACTCTGTTGAAGGCTCCTTAATGAAACCCGTGGGTGTGTTAGAGGCTGTGGTGAGTTATCAGATGAGTTGAGTGTATCGAGTGTTTCCTTCAAGAATATCCATTCTTTCCATTCCTATTCAACTTTATCACAGACGCTCTTACAGATGTCTCCATCTTGTCATTTGATATCACACGGATCGATCTAGTCACAGAAAAATTCTCAGGGGATCTAAAATGCACAAAGGACATAGTCCTGTTGGGCGAGGACGTTGACAGGATGCAGTCTTCTGGACACCTTGAGTGGTTATTTGAGAATGCTTGAGATGAATTTCCCGCCTCTCAAATGTAAATTGTTGCACCGGGACTGGTTTTGGGTGATGTTTGTCTAACAATGAGGAGTGAAATGGTTCGGGGCCTTGACTGTCTAGACTTACATGAGAAGTTGAATTAACTGCGGTGGGTCAGTGAGCGACAAAATTTCCACACGGATACAAATGGGTCGGTGGGTTTTCGCCAACTGACATCGTTTATGGTGCCAAAGTGATATTTGGTTCCTTATTAAGGGTGGGGTATATGAGGAAGCTCCCAGTGTTAAGCCAGCGTTACCTTCTTAAGATAGGCTGTTTTATGGTGTCACCAGGTGAGTAACGTAGAGGTCAGGTGTAGAGTTTTCAGGAGAGAGGAAAGTCAGTTGGTGAGGCTGTGAACCTTCATTGATCCAGTTGGTTTGAATGTTATACATGCCTAGTTGCCGTCTGGCCTATTGTATGATGTTGGCTGAAGCGGCTTAACGTTGAGGGACGGTTAGAAGTGGTCAAACTAAAGCATAGCATCTATGCATGTTATCTTTGATTGTTGATCTGAACTGTGTAGAGAAATGCGAATTTCCTGGTTGGGATCCGCATGACAATATGTGCAAGTGGTTGGAGACTGCGGGTGATCCTAGTTGTAGAACAAAATTTCCATATTTCCTGACTTGTTCTTCTTTTTGATGACTTTCTCCCGCTGTTGAGAGCTTTCTTCTTTATCTTTTATCTTGGTGGATTTTTGCTTAAGGTGGTGATTTGTAGAGAATTGGGCCGTTACGCTATAATGTCACGTTGTATGTTAATTTTTTCTGTCTGCATTTTATTGTTGCCAATACATATTATCTCAAAGCGTTACAAGTTTAGTCAGTAAAATGCGCTTCGATTCTGGTTACCTAGGTGGTGGGGTTTTCGTGGTAGAGTTGATTGCAAGACACAGGTTTTCGAGAACTATTCGTGCAAATTGAAGTGATTTTGTTTGATGAATTCAGATCAAATTTTATCAGCCTTTTTGGGATCATGGGGTAAGTTAATTGTTAACGATGATGTACTTGGCTCATAAAAACTAATTATCAAATTGGTATTCATCGTCTGGCAAATTGGCACTCAATTTAAACTGGTTTGATGGGTTTCGCACTCATTGTAGTTATGTGAAAGACTTCATATTGAATGCACTTCAGTAAGATTAAATAGAGTGCATGTAATTTTGCAAAGAACTTACATATTTCTTTCTTTCCATTTGACTTTTGCCAAAATTAAGGGTTAAGGAACTACTGTCTAATACTAAAAATGACTGGCTTTTAGGGGATAATGAATTAACCTCAAATTTAAATATCTCATCATTCTTATTGGTAGTACTTTCAAAAGACTTCTTACAGGATATTACAAGGTGTGACGAGAAACTATCACATCGTCAAGCCAAAATTAGTTTAAGCACTCATGGTAGTTTGATTTTTGTACAGTACGTTGTTGTTTAGAGGAAACATTTCTGGAAATGAATCACTATCCACAATCTAATCAAGGTAATCGTTTCTAGTGTTTCAACGGCAGAATTTTATTGCATTAATGTTTGTATAACAGTAATCTATTTTCTCTCTTTTTATCTCATCTCATTACGGTTGGTAGTTAATTAAAATCCGAAATCTAATTCACTTCAATCGAAACTGAATTGTGTAATGAAATTTAAAGTTATCATTAATTGTTTGGTACGTTTAACTTCGTGTAATCGAGTCAGTAGAATATAATAGTTTTGGGTAAGTTCTCAATACTGTCATGGTTTCAGCCCCATCAAGGATCCTTCATTTAACAAAGCTGTCACAGCTTAGCACTTACTCTCTTCTGTTCTTACAGTCATTGGTATTTCCTTGTTTGAGGACAGTTACTTATTTGTAAGGGATGCAGTATTTAGCTTTCCAGTCATTCCCCCTGCGGCATCTAATCAATTTTTTTTGTCGTATCGCCTGGATTTTTAACATTGTTATCTGATGATATCCTATGATCGATAAATAGTATTGTAACTACTGCCGTGTATCATTTCGCAACAGAACAGCTAGTTCTTTTCATGTGTTTGGAGCAAGCTGTCATATTAGGAATCACATGTCACAGTAGGTCCTATTTCTGTTATTCTCGTTTTGATCTCGGTTTGTCACATCAAGTTACCGTTTGCTTCAGCCACTTGTCTTGTACATTCAAATTATTTATAATTTATTTTATTTTAGGAGTTAATTGACACCGCTATTAAGCTTGATCCATCTGATGCTCTATCTTACTACTTACTAGGACGATGGTGCTATGAAGTACGTATTTTATTACCTGTTAATAATGTTTATATGTAAATATCAAGTTATTTTTTTAGCTGTAAGCAAAAGTACTGTAGAGACAGTAAAGCTTTAAAATGTATGCCCCTAGTTGTAGAATTAGTATTTATGACAGTTTCTACGAAGAGTCCTACAATTTCGTCCTATGCAATGAAGCATTATCACAAACACTAAAAATGATTCTAGTTTACATCTTCATGTTTGCACAACATGCCAGAATATACTCAGTTAACAGTAGAGATTAACCAATGAAAGTCACACTCCTATGGTCTTGTCATCGATGTATAACTTCTAGCCCCATCTTCAACTATAGATAATTCACTACAGAAAAGTAACTATCAAAACTCTTATGTATTATTATTATTATTATTAGTCCCTTGGGTTCCTAGTGGAACATAGGGCTTCAGTAGCACGCCTCCAGTGACCTCTGTTCTCTGAGATCTTTTGAACCTGGTCACACGACAGCCCAGAAGCTCTCATTTCCTGCTCGCACGACCTCCTCCATGTCACCCTTGGACGTCCAACTCGTCGCTTCCCATGGGGATTCCACTCGAGCAACTGGCCTGACGCGTGATGTCCTCAGTCGGCCTTCTCAGTGCATGGCCAATCCATCTCCACTTCTTCCTGCATATTTGTTGCGTGATAGGTTCTTGGTTGGTTCGTTCCCAGAGTTCCTTGTTGCTTATTTTTTCTGGCCATCTGATCTTCAGCAGCGAGCGTAAGCAGTTGTTGATGAATGTCTGTAGTTTATTGGAAATACCTTTCGTGACGCGCCAAGTCTCTGAGCCATACAAGAGCACTGACTTGACGTTGGTGTTGAAAATCCGTATCTTGTTCCGCATGCTGAGTGCAGAAGATCTCCACACTGGTTTCAGGCTAATGAATGCCTGTCTTGCTTTTCCGATTCTGACTTTGACGTCCTCGTCCGTCCCGCCTGTAGTTGAAACAGTGCTTCCTAGATAAGTGAAGGAGGTTACTTCCTTTAAGTTTCTCCCGTTGACAGTGATTGGAGTTTGTTGTTGTTGTTGTTGATGGTGGTGGTGCGGTATCTTCATCACCTCTGTCTTCTCTATATTCACCTGAAGTCCCGTCTTAGCTGCCTCTTCTATCAACTTGTTAGTTTTTGCCTGCAGATCTTCAAGTTTATGTGACATTAGGCATAAGTCATCGGCGAAATCCAGGTCTTCTAGGTTCTTTTCCGCAGTCCAGTGTATCCCCCTCTTCTCGCTGCCTACTGTTTGCTGCATGATCCAGTCCACCACAATCAAGAATATCATGGGGGATAGTAGGCAACCTTGTTTCACTCCTGTCTTCACTTCAAAGGCATCACTGAGCTTCCCATTGTGGATTACTTGGCATGTAGCATCTTCATATAGTTGTTGAATGAGGCGGATAAAGGTTTGCGGTACTCCGTAGTAATGAAGCAGTTTCCAAATTACTTCTCGGTCGACGCTGTCAAAGGCCTTCTCAAAGTCGATGAAGTTGAGGTGGAGAGGTGATTGCCATTCTATGCTCTGTTCTATGATGATACGAAGCGTTGCAATTTGGTCTGCACATGATTTGTACTTCCTGAAGCCTGCCTGTTCCGGTCGTAGTTTTGAATCCAGTGCATCCCTTAGCCTCTCCAGGATGATGCGGCTTAATATTTTACTTGGGGTGGACAGGAGAGTGATTCCGCGCCAGTTCTTGCAAGCACTGAGGTCTCCCTTCTTCGGCAGTTTGACAAGGTAACCCTTCTTCCAATCGTCAGGTACCTTCTCTTCCTTCCACACCTTCTGCAATAGTGGTGTGAGCATGGCCGCTGTTGTCTCTGCATCTGCTCACAGTGCTTCTGGCGGTATTCCATCTGGTCCTGCTGCTTTCCCGCATTTCAGTAGCTTTATGGCGTTCAGGACTTCCATTTTCGTTGGGGGATTTATGTTCACTTGTAATTCAGCGGCTGCAGGTGGTATTTCTGGACGAAGTGCAGGTGGTGGTCGATTCAAGAGCTTTTTGAAGTGGTCGGCCCATCGTTTCCTCTGTTTCTCTTCTTTGTAATTAAATTTCCTTCTTCATCTTTTATTGGTTTCATCTGTGTTGGTCTATTCCCTGATAGCAACCTGGTTATTTGATACAATGTCGTCAGGTCTCTCTTACCTGCAGCCTGTTCTGCTTCACTTGCCAGTGTTTCGTAGAAGTGTCTTTTGTCTTTGCGTGCACTCTTCTTCACTTCTTTGTCCAGTGTAGTGTTTTATACATTGTGCTCAGTTCATCTTGTCGTTGAGCATCCTTGCACTGGTTTATCTTCTGCTTCACCATCCTCCTCTCCTCTATCAGCTTCCAGGTATCTGTCGAGATCCATTCCTTGTCTTCTTTCTTCTTCCTTCCTAATACTGTTGTGCAGGTTTCTTTCCACATAGCTTTCAAAGACTTCCAGTGTTTTATCACACAGGTTTCTTCATGGATGTTCTTCGATATCTCCCATTTTGTCTTGATGGCTGGCGTGAAGATCTCCTTTGTAGTTTCATCCTTCAGTTTCCGAGTGTTGTACTTGGGTTGAGGTCTATCACCAGCTTCCTTGAAGGCTTTTAACTTGATTTGGAAGGTTCCTTGCACTAGGTAGTGGTCTGAACCTACATCTGCTCCTCTTCTTGACTGCGTCTCCATTTTCTTGAGATTGAGATAAAGTCGATTTGATTTTTAGTGTGTCCATCTGGTGAAATCCATGTCGCTTTGTGGATATCTTTGTGCCTGAACACACTGCCTCCAATCACCAAATCGTTGAATGCGCAGAATTCTGCAAACAATTCTCCATTCTCATTCATTTCACCTAGTGCCTCTCGACCCATGGTTAGTTCTCTTCCCGTGTTGTCCCCTCCCAGTTTGGCATTCATGTCGCCCATCAGAATTTTGATATCGCCAACTGACGTCTTGTCCAGTGTTGATTGAAGTTGTCTGTAGAAATCCTCCTTTTTCTCTTGCTCTGCATTATTTGTAGGTGCATAACATTGTATGATTGTGACCTTCCTTCCTTTTGAGTTGAATCTTGCTGTCATGATCCTGGAGGAGATTGGTTCCCACTGCATGAGAGCCTTCGATGCTCTTGAGGACATCATGATAGCCACTCCCTCAGTGTGCTCGTGGTTGGCGTCTGGGTGACCGGAGTAGATTATTGATTCTCCAGTTGACAGTTTGGAGAGTCCACTCCCATTCCATCTGCTTTCGCAAATCCCAAGCACTTCGATGTTATACCTTCTCATCTCTTTGCAATCTGGGCTGCCTTACTGGGTTCAAACATCGTGCGGACATTCCATGTCCCCACGTTTACTTTCGCTTTCATCGAGAGAAGAGAAGACACATCGGCCAATTGGCTTCCCGAAGGCTTTCACCAACTGGCGTCATTTCGCCTCTCCGATTCCAGCGAGGAATAAGTTTGTTTTCATTTTTTATATTTTGTTTGTGCTTTGAAGTTTCTTTAGCGGTTAGATTTGTTTTACGGGGTAGGGTTGCTAGCCCTATGCCCAACCTTCCCTCTTTACACGGGCTTAGGACCGGCTAGTAACTAGTAAACTAGTTAACCAGGCGACGTTATCAAAACTCTTATGTATAGGAAAGATTAATCAAAGGCATACAACTTTGCCTAAATGCCTTTTATGTGTAGTATGGACGTGATTTTTTTCTATTGGCAAAATGTGAAGCAAATCTATTTTTAATCATGATTTTTCTCAAAAGCTAAATCTTCTCTTCTAACACATCTCAGCTGCACATTCGTCGGATGCGAGCGATATATAATTCTCTTTGCCGCTCACGGATACCCAGACATAAAAGGTTATTAATTGATCATTCCACGTGGGCTTCTTGTAGATTGATCTTCTCAAATTCGTGTTTTTCTTGTCAATTGTACATCTAGAAAGGAGATTTTTGATTCTTTTTCCAACTCGAGTAAATCCACTGACTGAATGATGACTTTTGAACACCAGTAGAACTTGATTCCAATCGTATTCATTGTCACAGATAATAAGAGTATCATGTTCTGATGTATTTTCCGTGCATTGGAGCAGCAGGGACGCGTTTACAGTAAAGGAAATCAATGCGTTCCTACTTCATTTTGTCAGACTCCTTGAAGTGAATGTGATTTTTTTTCATGACTGTATATACAAAATCATAAATATCCGAAGTGATATTGGAAGGTGCTTTAAACGTTAATTCATTCAAACGTCATACAAGAAAGAATACGAACTTTATTTCCTCGCATGTTTCAGGACTAGAGCGAAATAAACCACAAAGATTCTCTGAATTATGCGAGTTATCACTCGATGAACCCAGGACATTAACTTAGTATATCTCCACAGTTACTGAAAAACCTTCACAATCTAAGAGAGGTTATAATTAAAATTCTGGAATCCGTCGAAATTCAACATAAATTTCCTGATGATCCCGTCACTACAGTTGCCTACTTTACAAGTGAAACCTTTATTCACCAGACCAAAATTTTGTAATGTTATTCAGATCCTATACACAGGTCAATTTGAAGGGCCAAACCCTTATTTCTGAGTAGAGGCCTAAACACTTTAAATCAACCATTCTCGACTGCTGTAGTCAGTATCGTCACAATTTCAAACATATATTGCCTCCAAACAAAAGACAATAACTCACCCAGTTAAGATGGAAATGAGATCCGTTAATAACACTCTGACAAGGGTGCAGGGTTGGTTTACTAAGACCAAAAAGTCTACATCGATAAAATACTAACTCTACCCTTAGACAGCCATAAACTCTGTCAATCTACCAAGATAAACAAGACTGAAGTTAAAAGAAGACTGATCCGAAAACCAGCGATTATCTATGCGAACGATGAAACTAACTGGTTCGATAATATCGTATGAGTTACCTAAGATACATAAAGTTGGCTTACCCTTATATCAGATCCTGGGTATGTCAAGCCCCACCCCATCCCCTACCATCCAATCGCAAAATGGCTAACAGTACTCCTAGAACCTGGCATAAGTCAAATCCCTTGAGATTTCTAGTTAGATTCTCTTGCATGGATTGTGAACGTTTCTCTGTAACTGGAGGTATATTCAGCAAACATTCTACGTTCATTAGGTGATAACTCGCATAACGCACAGGATCTCTGTGGTATATTTCGCTCTAGGTGAAATCTTCCGAAGGCCGCTCATCTTCGCATTCTTTCCGTCGCTGAAGCCTTAACCATTCACTTGGAAAATCATGACATACGTAAATGAAATGTACATTCTCAGATCTTTTTCCCCTCATGTTCTTAATTTGAAGTCCTTTTGTTTTGAAATAGCATCCTTCTTCGTTCTCTTCCCTGTTATTTTTAACTATATATGATCTCTCATCATGTTACGCAACGCCTTACCCGCTACATTTCGACTTGTCTTCACTATTTATAACTGTTTTGATATCGTAGTTTTCCTTGCTATTGTGCTCAAAAAACTACTACAGTTCATTATAGGTTTAATCGGCAGAATTTGACCAGCATTCAGGAACGGAAACCAGCTACTCTTCAGATACTAATCGTAGTACTTCTCATTCTGTAGATGATCAGTAGTATCTAGCCTTTTATCAGTAACTTCTCGTAAGTAATTTTCGTACGGTAAAATCGTTTTGCATTTGCAATCACTTTTACACAGACTAAGACCAATCATTTGATAGGAAGACTGATAGTAACATAAAAATCATAGTCAGCTGACAGTCATGTTGACTCCGAAGTTTCCAAAATCATGGATATAGTGCCATGACTAATCAGCATAATTATATCAATTTCAGGTTTACAATCTTTCATGGATTGAGCGTCAAATCGCATCAAGGTTGTTTGCGAAGCCTCCGACCTCCACTATTGAAGAAGCAGAGACCGCATTTGAAAATGTAAGCACATTGAAATAAGTTTTATTTAATAGTTAGGTACTGAATAGTAGCTTGATTAAGCCTATTTCCGCTTCTTTTTTCTATAGGCTGAGAAATTACGTCCCAATCATTATGCTGCACTCTACTTATATCGAGCTAAATGTTCCATATGCACTTCAGACTATAAAACAGCACTGTATAACCTGGAAAAAGCTCGAGCCTTGTTTGGCCAGGATAGATATCCTATGCCACATACAGACACTGGTTCAATAAGAGAACAAGTCGACCAACTGTACAATAAATACTGTGGATACGCATAAAAAACGTGTACATACTATAGAAATAGAACACCTAATCCTTGAGCTTCACTTAATTTCTCTATATTAGCTTGCATAAACTGTACATTATTCACAGAATGAATTCTTTATTTGTGTTATATACATAGATTAAGAGAAATATAAATTATCAAGATATTCGTTTATAAATCTTAGCCTTTTTGGCTTTTTTATCAGAAACACCGAAAGGTTTATAACGTTTCTGACCCGGAAATTCACGAGTTCTCTTTGACTTAACATTGAGATCCACTTTTGGTGTGACTGAAAGTCCACATGTTTTTGCTGTCGCCGCCAAATCTAGTTCATCTACATTGAAGCAGCTTAGAGCAGATGAGGCGTATGCACGGACAATGCCTTTGAATGCTTCTTGAGCAGAAAGAGCAAGAAAATAGTTATTGTTTACTAGTTTTTCTAGAGCTGGTTGTACATCTGCCATCTTGGCATTTGCTATTTCATACTCTACAACTTTAACTCGAGCGTTTCGTAGGATTGACAGAAAGTCTAGTTCATGAGGTCTTAGTACTAACAGAGCATTCCCTGTACTACCTGCTCTAGCTGTCCGGCCAACACGATGTATGTATTCTTTGGCATCATCAGGAGGGTCGTACTGTAGGATCCAATCAACCTATTATACACAAATGAATAAAAAAATAACCAGATTGTAATAAATAGTACCTGTTCGTATGAATTTAATTCCTTATTACTCTTAACTGATTTTAAAGGCTGTGGTTAAGTAGATAAGTGTATGCATCACAAGTATGTGAGAATTTAGAAATATTTAATGGGTAAAGTTGAAAATGTTGATTTCATGGTATGTTTTGGTGGAGATGCAACAGTCAACCATGCGTCTTGGGACTGTGATAATTATTTAGAGAACACATGTCCATTCGCGTATACTTTTGGCTATAATCTGCAAATAATGACATTCAAAAAGACTTACTGTTACATTGGATTGCCTGACGTATTACTTTGCTAGTATTGAAAAAAAACTGATCAAATGGCATTTCTCCCTATGAGCCATCTAGTTATGTGCATAGCTTTCTCTAACTTATCTTTGAAGCATAATTAGCATTACTATCTATGTGTTTCGAAATCTACGTTCCTGCAGTACGGTGTTTCCCAACGTAGTGTCAGCAGTCTATGCTGATGTTCCATTCTCTGTGCGAAGTGGGATGATTAGAGAAGATCAGCCCCCAAATAATGCACTTCTCCCTCTACCTTATACATTTAGTATGGTTTTTCTTGTCCAGTGGGATCATAATTCTCAATCTAAAACCCTTGAAATGACATTATGAGGCCAGCTTTAGGTGTCTAGTGGCTCTTGCGTTCATAAGAAACGACTTCTTTCCTTTTAGGTGCTGCACAGAAGCAACCTCTATTGTGTGGGTAACTTGAAAGTAATACTCCCCCCCCCCAAAAAAAGCCTGACGGTTCTAAATCAATCCCGCATGGCTTTATTAAGTATTTTTTAAAATTCTTTGTTGGTCTTCTAAGACTTTGCCCGCGTTTGTACGATGTAAATTCTTCTCTTCTAGCGACCACTGTTAACGATTCAAGCTAGCGAAATACCATTCAATTTCTACAATCCACGCAGACTGCTGGTGAAGAGAAAGGATCGGGTTTAGGGGTTGGAAGCATATGCTTTGGTCAGATATTCATCCATCGCCGACAGGGTGCAATGTGACTGAACTAACTTGTGTGAACTAGAAGATATGATGACATTTCTCGACACCCACTCACCAATTACAGCTCGAACGAAACGAAGGATGAGTTTTACCAAAAACTGTGCATTTCCTTGCGTAAGGCAAACGGTTCAGATATAGATACACTGTCAGACGACATCAACGCGCAAATAGGGAAGTTTAGCTAATAAGAAGGACATCTTAGGGGTTTCGATAGAATTATACTCCACAAAACTAACAACAGTGATCACTTCTCATAACTTTGTTCTGATAATCACGTTTCTGGCCAGAACTAACTTCAGGAGTAAGCAGAGACATTGTCTCACCTGGTGTCCACTGATACCAAAACATACAGATCACATTCTTGTCAGCCGTCGATGAATGGGATCAATGGAGGCTTGTTGCCGATTGGCCCCGAAAATAGCACACTCATTACTTCGCGGCATTAGCTCGTAATCGCATTCGAAAGCAAAAAACCGAAATCCCAAACCTGCCAAAAGACCGTGTGACCGGCCTTTAGTAAGTGTCCCTTGGGCTCCGCGGTCACGCACTAACCCTTCTTTTTTTAAGCACCTCAAGACCTAGCCTTTCACGGTGTGGGAAACCAGGAAGTGCCAGCCATCTTCACAACTCTGTCAGCATTCAAATTGCTGTTCAACTTCCACATCCTTCACTTCTAATCTTCCTTCACGTCTCTCAGCCAATAATCTTAAATTATCTTTAATTTCTTCCAGCTCCGCAGCTCTTGACGATGATTTGAGTTAACAAAACACCGTCCATGATCTCCTGTAACCGCACTTTAAACTGCATGTTGAAGCTCTCAGTGTCCGCACCCTCCGTCAAATCAATGAACAAGCTTCACTATCCGAAATTCTAGCAACTCGGGTTATAGATTTATGCCGTGTGTAGGGGTCATGCTAACAGGATTTAAGTGCGACCATTCACTTAACATCACGGTGCCAATATGATGAGTCCGCGAAACTTGCCCTTCGAGTTTCTGGAGATCCGATAGCCAGTTCTCGCAGTCTTGCAGGTTTTGGTATAACCTTGATCACTAAAGCAGAAAGAGTATTACTCGGTTGGATCCCAGTTAGCAGTCGCCCATGCGCTGCCCAACTGAATGGCACAGTGAGGACTCAAACGTTTAGTGAAACGCCGTTGCCTCTTTGCAATCTCTGCTTACGCACCCACTGACCGGTTAGAATAAAGTGAAGAATGAGTTCTACTGAAGTGTCTAGCCTTCTACTGAAAATCAAGCACTTAGACGTGGTAGTTGTTGCAGGTGATTTCAATGTATAGGTGGGTGGGCTTAGTCAGGTTGAAAAGCACTTTTGGAACTCCAGACGAATGAACAACTAACGGTGATCATCTACCACAACTGTGCTCAGATAATCGTCCATTTTTAGCCAGCACAAACTTCAGACGTATAGAGACATTATCTAACGATGCATCCATCGAGTTCAACTCAGCAGTGGATACAGAACATATTGCTGTCATCACCAGAGAGGGTCCGTGGAAAACTGTCCCAACTTCTGGAGCACGTGTTTAGACAGTGATTACGTGTTGATTTAAGCGCATGTATATCTGCGTCAAAACCATAACAACTAGACCATTGCAGGTTTAGCTCGACAATGAGAGCAATAAGGTCGGTTTGAATGAGAAACTAGTTCGACAGTTAGTGGAACGGAACGAAGTCATTCAACCAGAAGCTTGGCGCCATCTTCAGTCCGCAGTAAAAACAGTGATGAGGACGGTAACCAACCCTTAGAGAATGGTTATAAAAGGCTAGTGGGTCTCAGCAGCTTCTTCTGAATTAATGGGTCTACACGAAAGCATCCCTCCGGGCTCTGAGTAAAATGAGGAGCGAATGCAACTCAGCCGTATATTGATAAAAGGTCTACGCAATCACCGCGAGCAGTGGTGAGTAGTGAATGCTAGGCAGATAGAAAAGAGGAATCAGCAGGACGAACGTAGTGTCAAAGACATTAAGCTCTATAATTATCAGACGTCTGAGTGGACCTTGAGAACAGCAAACGTGACAAAATCAGGTAAGTGAAAGACCCAGCCGTGAGTGTATCAACCAGATATTCCTACAACCAGGTTCTGCAACACAAGCACACTTACCAACGCCCGACAATGGCTACGCTTCTCAACTGCAAACCGGCTTCCAACTCCGTTGGCAGCGTCTCTCACTAAAGGGGTGCCAAGTAAACACTCTTTTGAAAGCTCTTTCTTCGAACACCCGTGGGCGTGTCACAGACTATGGTGAGTTATCAAGTGGGCTGAATACATCGAGTGTTTCCGTCAAGAATATCCATTCTTTCCATTCCTATTCAACTTTATCACAGACGCTCTTACAGATGTCTCCATCTTGTCATTTGATATCACACGGATCGATCTAGTCACAGAAAAATTCTCAGGGGATCTAAAATGCACAAAGGACATAGTCCTGTTGGGCGAGGACGTTGACAGGATGCAGTCTTCTGGACACCTTGAGTGGCTATTTGAGAATGCTTGAGATGAATTTCCCGCCTCTCAAATGTAAATTGTTGCACCGGGACTGGTTTTGGGTGATGTTTGTCTAACAATGAGGAGTGAAATGGTTCGGGGCCTTGACTGTCTAGACTTACATGAGAAGTTGAATTAACTGCGGTGGGTCAGTGAGCGACAAAATTTCCACACGGATACAAATGGGTCGGTGGGTTTTCGCCAACTGACATCGTTTATGGTGCCAAAGTGATATTTGGTTCCTTATTAAGGGTGGGGTATATGAGGAAGCTCCCAGTGTTAAGCCAGCGTTACCTTCTTAAGATAGGCTGTTTTATGGTGTCACCAGGTGAGTAACGTAGAGGTCAGGTGTAGTTTTCAGGAGGAGAGGAAAGTCAGTTGGTGAGGCTGTGAACCTTTATTGATCCAGTTGGTTTGAATGTTGTACATGCCTAGTTGCCGTCTGGCCTATTGTATGATGTTGGCTGAAGTGGCTTAACATTAAGGGACGGTTAGAAGTGGTCAAACTAAAGCATAGCATCTATGCATGTTATCTTTGATTGTTGATCTGAACTGTGTAGAGAAATGTGAATTTCCCTCACTTTTTGTCTGATTCTGAAGGAAGTATATAATCCTAATCAAAACTCTCCACGTGAACCCATGCCAGTGTCTAAGGGATTATGAAGAGCTGTCTGAAGATCGGTGGTGTCCAACAAAGACGCCCACTGTCACCATTCCTGTTCAGTTTTCCTAACCGTATGCTGATGAATATAACCCAAGGTAACAACATCCTTTTAAGCATTGAATTACTCTGAAAACGCTACCTAGTTGACATGGAGTACGAAGGTAATATTGTTGTTAAGCTAAAGCGCCGACAAACTGTGGTCTTTTGAAAGCCTGAGCAAAGACCTGAGTATGTTTAGCATGTGTCGCACCTATCACATGTAAGATGGTACCTCAAGACTATTTTGCACTGACTCCTCGTTCACAGATAAGAAGCGGGATGGTAAAATGTACTGTTTACTCCACTGACCCTCTGAAAGGGTTAGTTGTTAACGAAATTTCTCTTCGGATATAAAAATGTCCGTGTGGCATTCCCCAACTTTCGCAATTGTTGGTGATGGTGAGATATCCTATTATCTATTAAGGGACGAGTATACTATGCTGGGGTTCGCTATCACAAATGGCTGAGACCTGACTACTGAGAAAAGATATGAAGAGCTTACAGGATTTTGACGACAGGTATATTCGTAGAGTCGCTCACGAGTAGTGAAATCAACGTTTCAACATTCACGAGGTTAAGCGTAGAGTACCAGGTAAGGAAGCCAATTTATCTCATGAAATTGAGAAACTTTAACGACTAAAGTGTTTTGAATATGTATTACACACATCGCCAGCGTTTACATCGTAGCACAGTTTTAGATGAAGTCAAGTCAGGATGGAAAAAAGGTAAAAGACGGCCAGACTAAAAAATGGCACCCTAAAATATACTCATAAAAAGCTTACGAGTAGATAGAGAAAGCGTTTGGATAGAAGTTGTAAAAAGTGGTTAGGAGACAACAATTTGAATAGGAAAGTAGGGATGACTGATAATTGTTGGTTTTTACTATGGAAACTAGCTTCTGAAGGCTGGTGAGATAAAACCAAGAAGGGGTAGCCGAAATGATGAGTGAAAAACTTCAAGAGCCTTGAAGTTGCTTTTTGGTTGTATACCATCAAGTCCTAGCATAGATTTGAAACTGATACAGGATCTCCAACTCTTGCTGATGTCGAGTTTGTGAGCAATGTACTAGGCATGAGTGAAAGACGTCATAATGATTTACCGCCAGAGATTTTGCGAAATGACGCTAGGATGACCGCTTAGACAGACACTTCATTTGGTGTTTATATCCGATCGTTTCAGATTACAATAGAACCTAAGTATTCTCATACTTAGCACAGAAAAATTATCTTTATCAATATAGTCCCAAAGTACACAATCATCACACTTCTAACTAGAGCTCGGGGATAATGAATCAGAGAACCATGCAGGCTTTTAGTCTACATGATGATGCAGTGACTCTATGTTTACTTTCCTTCCTATGCTAGTAAGCAGGCATACAAATAACAAGCGACATTTTACATTTCTTGAGGTGGAGTTATTGCTCATTAATCCAAACATAATTTTCTGTATCTGACGTAGGTAAGTGCTTACTCGTGCACTAGGCAACGAGTCACCTACTGTTTGAGCACTAATGATACAAACTGGCTGCTCAAATTTTGATAGGTGGAGCTAGGTTTTTTCCTATGAATCATAAGTTTAGATTCGAATGCCGAGTTATAATGGAAACTTTACAAGATGAGCAACGTAACTTGTTAACCTCCTTTCGACTAAAATATGTATCATCTGAGTAACAATCCACACTAAGTTCCAATCATTGAGTCCCATAGTTTCAATATAGGACCAATTAGTCTTATGGGACACAGATACTGACATGCTTGGACGCATTTTATCGAGTATTCTATCGCCTACCCCTATATTCAGTTAACGGTGAACATTTTTCACGTATTTAAATTAGACAGTTATTTTTATGAAAAATGCGAGGGAGAGGCAAGCAAACTGACCTTTGGTATGTCCAGACCTCGTGCTCCTACATCAGTGCACAAGAGTACAGCAGCTTCAGCTTTCACAAACTGTAGGAAAGTGCTTGTTCTTTTGGCTTGCTTCTGCCGTCCATGTATAGCTAGAACTGGAGTATCCACAAAGTTCAGTAACTCATAATAAAATTTCACCTCCATACAAGATGCCATAAACACCATAATCTGAAACGGATTTCATAAGAGGTACTGTAATCATGACTTTCCCAAAAATGCAAATAAACTGTGAAATAAATATGACAGTAATTTCAGCTAAACTGTATTAAGTAAGCATGAAATGTCTGGTACTCTGAAAACCGCCTTCTTAACCAAAAGATGGTTTGTAGGGTAAATAATAAATTAATTGCATCTAGCATTCGGATGACATTTTACGCGGTAACTAACACGTATACAGATTACCACTTTAAATCCGAGATGCCACACATAGAGGTGGAAAATGCACTTCTAAGTTGGGTATAAACGTTGCAGTGTGTGCTAGAAAGAATAGTGGAACGCGTCTGACATCAACTCATTAGTGGACACAGAGAGGCTAAGTCGCTAGAGGCGGTAGATTGATGCTCCTTCTGAAGCGTGTTTGTACAGTGACCACGAGTTGTTAAGCAACCTGAAACGAGGAAGGAAAGCAAGCCGGATGGACCAGTACCGGAGGCACTTCAGGACGATGGGTATAGATTACTGGTCAGGTTAACCAGTGTTGGCTTACATATGGGAACTAGATATGAACTCATGTGGTTGGTACTAGTCACTGACTGACTGTACCAGTTCTAAAGGAAGAGTAGAAATTCTTTTGTCACGATCACATAGGAAACAGTCAGACTTATGTGGTGTCCAAGGTTTTAGGTTTCACAAACATTAGACGTCGAAGTACAGCTCAAAGACAGCATATTTGAGAAAGCCAGGTAGGCGAAAGACCCAATCGTGGAACACATACACCAGCACCCATTAACAGCTATTTCCCAACCTGAAGGTGGCATTCGGCTCCGTAGATGGAGAGGTCTTATGGCAGTGTCTCACTAAGAGGGGTAAATACACCACCCTGCACTTCGACACCCATGAGCGTGCTACAGCCTGTGAACTGTCGGGTTTGCGTATGCACAGTGATGTTTGCCGTCTTCATTCTGATCCAACTTTATCACAGACGTACGTACAGGGGTCTCCAATTTGTCGTCTGATTCGACAGAGATTGATCTAGTTACAGGAGAATCCTTGATAAACTTAGAATATGCAGATGGCATAGTGAAGCTAGATGGAGATGCCAACACTGAATGGCAGTTTGACAATGCATGGAATGCACTTCTTAACGCTCAAACAAAAACTGTTGCTCCGAGCTGCTCTTCGATGCTGCCTTGATTACTTGACCTGTTTGGGAAGTCAAATCAGCTATGGTAGGACAGCGGGTGACTACATTTCTATACGGATACGAATGGCTCGCTGGGCTTTCCACAACTTACGCCATATAAAGCGCCACCGTGATATCCGATTGCTTATTGAGGGTCAAGTGTACTACTTTGCAGTCTGCTCTGCTTTGCTATACAGCTGTGAAACATGACCATTAAAGGTAGAGGATATGAGGCTTCAGGTTTTCGACAACCGTAGTCCCGTTAGCATAAGCCATGGCGCGGTATCACTGTGTCAGTTAAAAGCGACCAGACTAAATCATGGCATCAGTTCATGAAGTCTTCAACTGTTAGTCTGAGCTGTGTATGTAAATCTACACTTACCAGTCAGGGTTTGCATAACGACAGCAACCGTTGGTTAGAGACTATGTGATACGGCTCATACCTGTCCATTTTCACGACTTTCTACCGCCTCTGACTACTTTTTCTTGTACCTCTTTATTTTTCGTCTTGATGCATTGTCGCTTGATGTGCTAACATGGTATGGCAACTTGGACTGTTATGCAGTAATTCGAGGTTCCATGATGATAGCACATTATCAAAAGTCAAGGTTACGAAACTTAGTAGTCACCTAGAAGTTCGGGCATAATGCCATGAACCACATCTTTGGTGTAACAATGCTTCTGGGTTACCAAAATCCAGAGAGAACCATTGGAGATTGAAACCATGACTGGTTACTAAGTGATTAGGCCAATCACGCACAACTAAGTTAGATGAGTAAATCTTCATTAACAGAGGATGCGTACAATTGCCAGGTCTAAAAAAAGTGAGGTCCAGGAACCGTTGATCGTCGACGCAAGGCGAAAGAATGTATTCGATTGACAAATCAAATATGCTTCAGGTTTCACGGTCGGATATGTGATTCATGAGCACGAATATCCAAGTGAAAATATCTGCCGGCTGTAAATGACAACTAATATAAATCACTTATGACCTGGATTTTGCCCAGAAAATACATTAGGCGGACAGCAGTATAGGAGTACAATCCGAAGGACAGTCAAGATCCATTAACGAAAGAAAACTAAGTAATTATCTAACCATGCTTTCCGGAATACTTACCTTCTTGTTTTTATTTTTTTTCAGAAAGGTGTACAGTAAACAAAACCGCCTGTCTGCAGGACAAACCACATACCCTTGTTCTAACCCATCAACAGTGGCTTCTTCACTAAGAACCGACCCAACCATCACACATGAAGCTTTTAGAGCAGCGTTAGCCAAGTTCTTTGTTTTCTCGTTAAGCGTGGCTGAAAACAACATTGTTTGACGGACTGCTGGAAGTAGCTTGATGATCTGCCGCATCTCCACTTCAAAACCGATATCTAACAAACGATCTGCCTCATCTATGACAAGAGCTTTGAGGTTGTGTCGAAGAAAGTATTTAGTGTTTGACAAGTGATCCAGAAGCCTTCCTGGGGTTGCAACGAGTATTGTAACACCTTTTTCAAGATTTTGTGCTTCAGTTTGTCTGTTACTTCCACCCATGATCAATCCTACTCGCAGATTTGTGAACTGAGTAAGGTCCTAAACATTTAGACACACCTTAGGTAGAACTATACAACTTACTCTTAGAACGCCATAAGTTTGCAGACTTAGTTCGCGAGTGGGTGAGATAATCACGGCACCTGTACCGTTCCGAGGTTGCAGACCAAGTTTTAACATCAGCTCAACTACAGGAATCAGAAAAGCAAGAGTTTTGCCACTCCCCGTTTTTGCACAAGCCATTAGATCCCTATGCTCGAGAAGTTGTGGAATACATTGTTGCTGAATATCAGTCATGTGAGTAAACCCCATTTCTTTAATGGCACGCATAATCGGCTCAGAAATTGGTAATTCTTCGAACTTTCCTGTCAGCGCTACGCTGGTCCCCGGCTGAGCTTCATCTGTACCATTTGGCACTGCATCAGGGGTCTCAGAAACATCCTTTGCTTGTTTTTGCTTTAGTTTTTTGAGTTTCTTTTTAAGTTTCTTTGTAGGTGAATACTCTCTAGTCATGCTTCTTCAGGCTTCAACCAGGCGCTAACAATTCTGAAGGTTACATATTAAATAGTTCAGATGGTTGTTTTCAGAATATTAGCTTTCGCTTAACTGGTTCCCGCGACTAAAATCCGTGGATAACTAGCTCTTTTGGTTTTCAACTTGTATACAACTAAACGGAGAGCAAAACGTTCCGGTTTAAATCGGAAAATGCAGCTAGTTCTCTGTAGACGCCACCAACATCTCAATAATAATGATACTATCCAATATCTAATATCTTTTTAACGAGCTTGTGTAAACCAGTTGACTTCTTCGTGCTGGCTTCTTGGTCTTGCGGAACGGCTCCAGATCTTTGGCGGATTCCGATGCAGTAGGTCCAGCCACTGGTCTGCTATAGCTCTGATTAACAGAACAGGAAGTTAAGTGTTGGTTTGTTTGCCTTGGACTGTGGTGCAGTTGGCTTCTTCAGATGTCGAGTTGCCTGACAGTTGTTAGGAATGGTCGCTAGAGATGGTTAGGGATAGTGAAGAGAAAACTTAGAAAGTGTGTGGGTAAAAGAAGAGAGGAAAGGTGAACTAATTGAGTAATTTACTTACACCTAGGTAAGGTGAGTAGGGGTGCAAAGGCATGAAGAACCTAGGTAAGTGAGGCTAACCTATGGCAAGTGGAAGGGGTGAAAAGGGCTTAAATGGTAACACTAGAAAGAAAACTGGTTGGGGTGGCTTGACATCATTTCATGTTCCAGCTATGCGTTGGTAGACCGTGAGTCTCTGTATGACTGTCTAGCCTCTTCTTGAAGCTTTCAACAGTTGGGGCGGGACCACCTCCGCTGGTAGTGTGTTCCAGTACCCACAGACTTGGAGGGAGAAGAACTGTGAACGCACATGCGTTTTTGACCTCTGGCGTGCTATTCTATTGGGGTTTCCTCGAGGATCTCTATAGTGGCCACTCGGTAGGACTCCTCTGGTTGGATGACTTGGGTTACTCATTATTTTGCAAGCCATTATTAAGTTACCACGTATCCTTTGATAGCTAAGGGAGTACAGACCTAGGTCTTTGAGTCTATCCTCATATGGTTTTCGTAGCTCGCCTCTGGACTTTCTCCAGTAAGTTCGAGCCTCTTTTCAACTGTGGTGGAGCGAAGACGTTATGGACCTCTAAGTGAGGCTGTATGTAGGTCTTGTAGAGCTTCAGAAAGAGTTCTGGGTGAGGGCACCCAGTTGTCCACGCACAAAGCGTAGTGCCCCATATGCTTTTTAGACATCACCTAGGTAATTGGGACTGGTACCCGGTTTCTCCGTCACCGTTAGACCCAGGTCTTTTTCGACTGTGGTATGGGATAGGCATGAACCACAGAGGTAGTAGGATGTTTTCTGGGGATCAGGAGTGCGGAAAAACATGGACTGGCACTTATCCAGATTGAATGCCAGCTCATTATTAGTTCCCCATTCCTCTAGTGTCCTGAGGTCCTTCTGTAGTGTCATAGATTCCGCCTCGCAAGTTATTGCCCTCCATAGCTTGACATCATTAGCGTATAGGAGAATCGGGGAGCTGACGTGTTGCGGTAGGTCATCTGCGAACAGTAGGAACAACAGTCGGCCCAAGGTTGCTCCTCGTGAGCCACCGGATGAGGATGTTCTCCAAGTTGGGTAGACCCTGTTGACTTTCGTGCAGAACTCCCTGTTGTCTAAGTAGTTCTGCAGCCGCGAAAGCACCTGGCTGCGAACACTTAACCCAGCTATCTTATGTATCAGGACATGGTATGAGACGGTGTCAAAGGCTTTGGCGATGTCCAGAAAAATTAAGTGGACCGGGACCTTGAGATCCCAGCATGCTGTCCAGTGATCATGGGCCGTCAGGAGGTTGGAGGCACAGGACCTACTCCTCCGGAAGCCATGTTGAGCGTCACTGAGTGCCTGCTTGGTGCCCAGATACTCTCTGATACGGTCGTCCACCACACTTTCCATTACTTATGATATTACTGGCAGAAGTGCTATGGGTCTATAATAGTTGGGATTCTGTCCGTCTCCTCCTTTGAAGATGGGAGAAAGGATAGCCCGTTTCCACTCTCTTGGGAGCTTTCGCTCATCCAAGCAGTGTTGGAAGAGGTTGCAGGGTGGGCCACTTGGGGTACTTGCACATTCTTTCAACACAAATGGGCAAATGTCGTCGCACCCTGGGGATTTTCCCGCGCTTAACTTTAAAAGCTTGCCGAGAGCGACAGCGCGGGTTGTCTGTATTTCGTGTAACTCAGTAGCATCGGATGAAGTTGGGGCTGTTCATGCAACTGGTATGCGCACTTTCTTGATGGAATGTTGAGCTGTGTGCCATATCTGGCGCTCAGCATCTCAGCAATCTCCTGTCCAGAGAGGTTTTCTCCGTTCGGACTTTTTATGACAAATGCTCCCTGGCTTGTCGATTTTCTTTTTGCCATGAATCGGTAAAGGCTTTTAGGGTTCACCTCAAGCCTTTTGGCGGGGTTGGACTGGAATGACCTCCTGTCTCCCCACAACCTAATGTTGCTTCGATTCCGTAGAGTCATGTATGCGTCATGGTCATCCTGTCCTCTGAAGAGTCTCCATGTGTGCCATGCCCTTCTCTTGGTTTTCAGAAGGCTCTCAGTGCCTCGTTTTAGCCATGACGTTCGCTTCCTGGTTGTTGTTACAGCCGAAGGGACGTTTTGTGAGACGGCCGTCTTAATGATATCTTTTACCAGTTCCCAGTGCTGGTCGATCGATAAGGAACACCAATCCACCGGCCACGAAGCCGTTTAAAGGCTCTTGTTCATACCTTCGTAATTTGCCTTGTTGTAACATGGGTGAGGGCGAGGTCTCCCCCGTGGTAGGTCTTCACTAATTACCAGGTCGAACATTACAGTAGCAGGATCGTTACTTCCAAGAGGGGTTTGTACCCTTGCTCTAGGTTGAGGGCTGGGGCATCGAAGTCGCCAGCTATTAAAATCTGGTCGCACCCCATAGTTGACACTGCGGATATTGCTTGGAGTAGTTTTTGGTTATAATCCAAGCTGCTATAAGGAGACCTATAGATTCCTCCAACTAGGAATTTGGTGTGTTTGACCGTGAAGTGGCACCAGATAGAGTCTGGGAGCTCTGTCAGTGCTGTGTCAGTGGCTTGTTCACTTCTGAACCACTTGTTCACGTACATTGCAACCCCCCTCCGCCCCTATGTTCTCTGCCTCTCCTGAACAGAATCATATCATCCACGTTAACTTCGGTGTCAATTATGTCTGGTGACAACCACATTTCTGTCAGGACCATGATTTTCGGGGCGGGGTCGAGACAGAGGGATCGGAGTTCCAGTGGAACTGGCCCAGTTAAGTTTTTTCCCTCGTCGACTGGTGCATTCGGTGTTGAGTGGAGGTTGCTGGTCTGACTCTCAACGTTTCCGTTTGGGGTTACGGCGTCCTGAGCACAGGGCGTAACTGCTGTCCATTGTTGTCTCAGTGTTCTCGGTCTGCTTTCGCAGCAGAGAACGCCACCGCTTATGGTACTAATAATGACATCATTATTAACAATTACTTTACTCGGTGCAATTTGGAACTTTCAGCATGTAGATGTTTTGATGGTACTCCTTGCCAACGAAACGACAACAGTGATCATACCTCACAGTTTTGGCCTGATAATAACGTTTTCGGCCAGAACTAACTTCAAGCAAGCGCCAGGAGAGCGTTTGGAAGAATTGAGAAAAAGAGGCCCAAACCGCTTTTGCAGGAAGGTAATTTCTGTGGTTATCAACTCTTACGAAATAGAAGTTGTCTGACATCGAACATGCTATGTCCTAGGCTGCTTCCCTATATGTCTTCTAAGACAGATGCCACAATTCATATCCAATGATTGTCGAGGTAGGTGTCCGGGGGTGTTCAGGATGTTGTGAGCCACCATCCAGTTCCCTTCTAGTCTTACATATCCCAATCCCAATCAGCTGTTCTTAAAATGTTACACCTATGTCTTAGACCAGATTTAGTCGACCATCCGAGTGTATTCTAAGCTTTGTGTCCCGCTGCTGAGACGGGGTGGAAAAGAGGGATGATAGATTTGAGCTCCAGGTAAGGCCGTGTGAAACCTCTGAAAATTTAAGGTGAAATATCTGTAACTGAACTGACCAGAAACTCGTCAGACATTTACTAAATACCGCGTTTCCGCAAAATCCGTTTCTGTCACAGTTTACATAGGATTTTTAGTCTTGAGGGACTAAACCGCCCAACTTTTTCTCCATCAGTAACGCATGAGATTCCATGCCATTGAAGCTACATAAATGGCATACATCTTTTGACGTGTACAACCGCGAATTTTTCATCCTTAAATGCAAGACCACTACTGACCCCCTAGCTTCTAAGTCATTGAGCTCTGCCTGTGGGGAAACACTGTCTTCCTGACCTTGAACTTCCCTCTGTGGTTTCAGGTCACCAGTAAAAGTGAGGATTTCAGGAGAAATCTACTGAGTCAAGCTAATTGTTTGTATGAGAAAAAAGAAAAGGACCAAGTGTTGAAAACTGGGGGACTTCACCAGGAAACTTTGCTATTCCAGACACAAAGAAATTGCCCCATAGAAATGGCAGCCAATACAAGAGCGGTGGACTGATCTCGATTAATCTAAACTCATCGATTAGATAGTCGTGATTAGCACAATCAAAGGCCTTAGCAGAATCCTGATAAATAGAATGAACTGCACCTCAACAGTGGACGGTGCGTGTCAGGGCGGAACTTGAAACACGGTGCCATTATCACTTCCATGCTTTAACCTCAATGCAAAGAAGGTGTTCGACAGCGGGATTGGTCGTGATAACGTCAGTAAGCTAGCTCTGGTGCCTCCGATGTACATAAAATTAACGCGGTAAACTAAACCCTTACGACAGAAGCGACTGTCTAAAACTCGGTGGCTCTTTTGCCCACTTCTGATTTCCTACTTTCGAGCTGTTTACGCAAGGATGTTCTTAGATCACAGACAAACTGATGGTTGCTACCTCATCACTCGCATTGAGGCAACAACCCAAGGTGAAAAGAGGGAATAATCTTACAGTTCTCGTAGCATCGAAGACTCGCTGGAACACCACGAATAAGTTTCCCCACAATGAAGATCCGCGCCTATACTCGTTCCTACT